AAGATACTGTTTGATCTTTCCTCCCAGTTTTGCCCTGACCCTCCTTTCTGAGGGGGCAGTGTATGGGCTTTGGATTCTACGTTTGTATCCAGCCTCTCCCCTTCCCCTGGTGTGAGAGGACAGATGTGCGGCATTCCACACTCGCTAGATTGCAGCAGTCCTCCCCCCGCCCCCCAGTCAGTGGGAAATCTAGAATATGAAAACAAGGCTACTTGGCTCAATGCTGCAGTCTGCAAAGCCCACGACTCCACTCCAAGGCAATGAAGAGGTGGCTGTCTAAGGACTACAAGATCAGGAGAGGTGGTGTGATCGGAGGGAGAGAGCACTGGCCAGGATGTCAGGAGGCCAGAGTTCTATTTCCTGGTTCTGCCACCAAGTCACCATGAGACTGTGGAAAGTCAGTTACTCTGTGCCTCAGTTTCCCCACGCGCAAAACAGACAATGAGCCCCTGCTTCCTTGTAAATACTCTGGGATCCTTGGATGAGAAGCGCTAAGTGTTATGAATTGGTATGAAATCTATATCCTCTTTCATCCTTACTTACGGGGAAGCAAGTTGGCTCTCGGGAGTTTTCCACACTGCCACTGAACTATGCTGGCTGAGAAAGCGTACGGCCATTTCAGTGCAATTGTTGCCGGCCATTTAAAAGCCACGGGTCCCAGTCCTGCGAGGATTCCTGCACTGGCAGATACCTGTGCCATTGGAGAAATCCTTTTGTAGTCAATGGGAAGTGTGAAGCTCTTTGCCACACAGTAGTCATGAAAAAAAGACTATTCCAAGCACAAAATCCACTCTCCTTTGCCATGATGATCATGAAAAAACTTCCCCTCTTCTTCCAACCCTGCTGCTGGGCCAGTGTGGTCTAGTGAGTAAGGCACCCGAATAGGAATCAGGAGAGCTGGGTTCTGTTCCTGGCTCTGCACTGACCAGCCGCAAGGCACAGCAGTGCCCTGTGCCCCTCCCATTCTGTATGTCTGTTTCCACTGTAAGCTCTTTGGGGCAGGGACGGCCTGTCACTATACAGAGCCTAGCACAGTGGGGCCGGGATCTCTGTTGGGAGCGCTCCACAGTAATCATTTTGTCCCCTCTTGGACATGGAGGATGACACCAGTTACCGAGAGAAGCTGAAGTCCCCATAGCTGTCTCTGAACCCACTTGTCTGCTTTCAGGTCACACCGCTGCCTAGTTACGTTCAGAAGGACAGAGAGCTTTTGCCATTCCCCTTGCTTGGCTCACAAGCGACTTGCAGGCCAAGGACATTCATTCATTTCATTTCATTTTATTTTTTAAATTTTTTTTACATAAAAAGTTCAGTAAAAATTGGATAAAGTAAAATGATTTAAGCAGTAAAATCAATCTTATCAACATAGCACGAGGCCTGCCAGAAACCCAGAGGCTGCCTGTTCCTGAATATTTACATGATAACAGATTAACCTTGCAGGAGAACAAAAAAACAAAAACAAAACTATCCTTACAAAGTGTTCCCGTGATATCAGCACGTGTCGGGCTAAAAGCAAAAAAAAAATTATCAATATATTCACATATACGTTAAAATATAATACAGATCTCGGGGACACAAGATGTGCGCATGGGTCAGTGCGCCAAACAGCACCGCCAGATTTGAGACCCGGGTTTGCCTGCAAAGAGGAAGAGGATGGAAGGAGCTGTCTCCGCTCTGCGTCGCCCTCCTCACTCCCAAACAATGGGCAACTGCTTCATTTCATACAGAAACAGTGACATTTCTGTCCAAGAATAGGCAGGGTCGGGTCAGAACTGAGAGTCCCGTCCACACCAACAGCCTCCGAGATTAGCGGGCAGGATTCCTTCTCGTCAGGTCCAAAGAGGATGGATCGCTCCTTCCAAAGGTTAGAGGTGGTTATTCTAAGTCCGTGTCCTCTTTGGGCTTGTAAACCGCCCCAAACTTCTGCATGTATTTCTTAATGTACTCCTTAGTTTTGTGCTTCACATTCTCGTTGCACTCCAGATCCTCCGGGTTCTTGCAGTATTTCAGCTCCTTGTTCATCACACCATGAGTCAGCTGGAAAGGAAGCAAGAAATGCAAAGGTTATTGATTGATCCAGGAAACTGGAAGGCACCTGGAAGGATTTCATACGTGTGGGGACGGCTGAAATGGAAAGGGGGACTTTCCGACAGGTGGGAACAGGGATTTTTGGACACGCTATTTGGATATCTAATAGGGTAATGGATTGAGCTGGCACTCCAGAAATAGTGCTCCGATCTACCCTCTCTCATCATAAAAGAACAAGGGAAAATCCAGTCAAACTGAAAGGCTGCAAAAGTTTAAGCTAGAAAGAAATCCTCTCTTACACAATGAATAATTCACCCGTGGAACTCATTGCCACTAGATATAATGAATCCAATAGCATCATGGGATTCCAAAAGGATTATATATGGATATGGGTAGGGAGAACATCTGCAATTACATTAGACAGAACAAAAGCCCCTCGCTGCCCCAGAGCCAACTGAGCCACTGAGGGGAGTGAGGAAGAAACTTCCCCTACTGGAAAGTTGTCCGACAATTGACCAAAACAGCGTTTTCTCCTTCCTCAAGCAGCTGACACTGCTGGCCACTGTCAGGATCGCAGACTAGAGGCGCCACAGTTCCACTCCTATCTTCAGGTGTGGTATGCTGCCCACAGTGCAGCACGGTCCTTTGGCAACATAGGAAGTGACTGAAGGGAAGTGCCCCGAGCATCCCATGTTTGCTTGTGTCATGCCTGTGGACTGGGTGCAGGTGTGGGTGAAGCTAGGAATTTGTGATCCAGCCCCCTAGGAGCAGAGGCGGCCCAGAGGGTGCAGGGAGGTTAAGCTCCAAGGGTTGTTTGAAAACCACATCCATCTCCTCTGCATTAGCTCCCCCAAAACATGAGGAGCCTTCCAAGCACAGCACCAGGAACTATAGCTTCTTTGGGGTTTCTGAGTGGAAAACCATCCCTGTTTGTTTTAACCCCCGCGGGCACAGATGCTGTAATAAAGCCAGGGTACCTTGCGTGCTAAGTGTTTGAAGTCTTCGGTTGTGGTTATCCTTCCTACTTTGCAGTCAGGTTTGCGGTAGGGGTTCAGGCACTGCACGATGAACTGAGACATCTGGAGATGGGAAGGAGACACACTAGTACATAGGAGCGCTTCATGCCATTGCTGATTAGCTACTGGCAGTTCTGTGCCCAGGAACATTTGCCGGCAGGGGTAAAACCCATCCCTCCAAACCTCCTCCCACACGACATTTGTGCTTTCACAATAGTGAATTTAAAGGTAACTGTCAATAGAGCTGCAAGCTAGTGTTAAAGTTAAAGCTTCTTGGCGGAGTCTAAGGGACAGATCCCACCTCCCACTCACACCCACAGTGACCAAGAAAAGACCAAGTTTCATGTTGTAGATTAGTGGCAGTTGCCATCTTTGGCTGACAGACTGGGTGGATTGACCGGGGACCTTCACAGCTAAAAGCCTATCGCTCAAGGTAAATAGCTACGGCTCTGTAACAACTCTCATCCTCTGCATATGGGCACAGAGGGGGACCTAACACACACCCACACCAGTGGGTTACATACTCTCTTGCTGAGTAATTGTTATACGATTTCCATAGGGCCACCTATATTTTCTTATAGCTATTCCTCTCTCAACACACATGTCCCATGCACTACAAGCACACACAAAAGTCCAGCTAAATCAGTGAGCTAGCTTTTGAAAAGTAACCAACTCATTTTATTACACAGAAAAACAAAAATGGTGGGAGAAATGTAACCATGGACCCAATCCTGAACTCCTTCCCCAGGCAAAGCTCCCTTTACTTCCGTAAGAGTTCAGGCTGAATAAGGTGGTCAGGATGGGCCCTCTGTATGTGACCTGCAAGGTTATGAGTATCTACAGTCCCGAAGACTTTACATCCCACCTGTCCTGCAGGATGGGAACTGGGTTTTTCCTTTAATATGGTAACTCAGGGCTATTGACAGGTATTCAGCCTGCAGACAGGAGAGTCTCATCCGATCATGCCACAGTCACTTCCAGAGTGAGGCCTACCTTACCATACTGTATGGGAAACGGCTCCTCTGTTCTTGCTCAGCTGCAGCGAGTCCATCTCATGAGACTCCCCTTCCCACAGCTCTGAGCCACCTTTATGCCCTAAGAAGAACCCTAAGCAGGATGTGTTCTACTGTCCTGGGTCCTTCCCTGAAGGGTGAATTCCACTGAGTTGCTATAAAGCGACTCTCCCTTCCAGAGAGAAACATGGCGGTGAAATCCTATCCCATTTAAGTCATTGTGAGCTTTGTCACTGACTTCAGTGGGGCCAGCGTTTCCCTCGGGGGATTCTTAAGGCTCCAAGACTCCACGTATAGTAGCTGGTCTAAGGGATTATTGAATTACGAGCCCAGGTAAAGACTCAGGGCTGGTCCACACTAACCCCCCAGTTCGAACTAAGATACGCAACTTCAGCTATGTGAATAATATAGTTGAAGTCCAAGTATCTTAGTTCAAACTACAAGGTACTTACCGCGGGTCCACACGTGGCAGGCAGGCTCCCCCGTTGACTCCGCGTACTCCTCTCGCGGAGCAGGAGTACCGGTGTCGACGGCGAGCACTTCCGGGATCGATTTATCGCATCTAGATAAGACGCGATAAATCGATCCCAGAAGATCGATTGCTTACCGCCAAACCCGGAGGTAAGTATAGACGTACCCTCAGACTCGGCTCTTCCGCAAAGGACAGGACATTCTGCTGCCCTCCAGCCCCCAGCTCTAGAAAGCCCATCTCAAAACCCTTACCTCTTTCCTGAACACTTCTTTGCTCTTCTTAGCCAGCTCACTCGAAGTGTCGGCTTCTGCTGTTTTGGGTTTTTTGGAAGACTGTGGGGGAGAAAAGTCGAACTGTCACTTTCTGATTTATAAACACAAAATACAAACCAAACCAAGATGGTCCCACACTGCTGCAACACGAGAGACATTTCCCCATTCCCACCGCTGACATTACAAGAATGTGGGGCTGGCCCAGCAGCCTCCCTTCCAAATAATTTTGAAGAGTAAGAATTCCGAGGACAAGGGAGGGTCATCATGTACCGGAGATGTCACTCAACATTCCTGGAGCACACGACTGGGCCCAAATGTCTTTTGTGAGGTAGAAGCCTGCTCTGTATCTGTATTAAGACTCCTGGTGCTTATCTGCAAGGCCTTGTATCAGCCTGCACCTCAGCTCTCCTTGCATTCTACCCTAAGCCCTGGCCACTCCTCTTAGAGGGTTTGTCTACACAGGGAAATTGACTGGCCCAGCTACGGCACATGATTTACTCCAGTACGGCTATGCTGGTCTAAGTCCGCTACGTAGACAAGCCCTCAGGCTTTTCTCTTCCACCCACTTGCAATTCACTCCCGATAAACATCCTACTACTCTTCTCCAGACATCTCAAGACTCACTGCTGCTGGCTCACTTTCCATCGCTATTCTCGGCTCCGGAACTAGTTGTTCTCTCCCTCGTGCCTGACCACACTGAAAACAAGAAAGCACAAAATCGTAATAAAATGGATGATCTCTGCAAATAGCTCATTTCCTCCTACCCATTTATTTCCCCTCCTCCAGGTCCTGTTCTTATGTGCTCGAACTCAGCATACGAGCTTCCTCAGGCCAGGAAACTGATCTTCTCTTTTCTCTAGGGTGCTATAGAAATAATTGGAGTACTTGTGGCACCTTAGAGACTAACAAATTTATTAGAGCATAAGCTTTCGTGGACTACAGCCCACTTCTTCGGATGCCCACTTCTTCGGATGCATCC